GTTTATTCTTGAGAAGTTTGCACTGGGGGTTGGGTATTGTGGTTCAGTCTAGGAGCGATGACACATCCTTATGACGCTGTTGGGAACTCATGTACCTTGAGCTTGACGGGAAGCTTCTTTAAAGAAGAATCCCTTTCTGATGTTGAAGGAACTTCATGGAAAGCCTTGCCAGTCAATCTTCAGGCTAAGCTTGAAGTGAGGGCTGAAGGGTTCATGACGAAAGATTCCGAAATGCTTCAGTCATCCAGTGGGCAAATCTTGGACCTGCGCACCAAATCCTACTAAGCCAGCCTAACGACGGAACTGTAACAGGATCAGTCCCAGGCTTGCTCTTTTGCTGATCAAAAAACAACAGCTGGTACTTGCCTGTAGTTGAGCTTTTGCTAGATCCCCAGCCGCTAACTCAGACTCCTGCTCCACCCTCTTCAACTTCTCTTCCAAGGCTTGCAGGGATCTGCACAACTCTTTTTCTTTCTCAACTGCGAACAACAGCTGTTCCTCGTTGCCACTCTCTGGAGCTTCCTTCTCTCTTTCCACTGTGCGCGCTACATCCACTCTCTGGCTCTCTTCCAGAAGCTTCTGGGACTCCTTCAGTTGCTCCCCTTTCCGTTCGACCTCATCGCTCAGCTCCTTGATCCGGATGACCAGCTGACTGTCCATTGGCCCTCAAAAGACCCTAGGCCTTTTCCAGAGAAACCTGAGACTCCTTCAGTTGCCCCTTCTTTTCCTCCAGTTGCTTCGCTGTCTTCTTCAGTTGCCCTTCTGAAGCTGCAGATTCCTTGACCACCTTGGCAAGCTCGTCGCTACATACGTTAAGCTGACCGCACCTTGTGGAATAGAGGCACAGCAGCTGTTTGCGCTCTGTGTCAACCTCGATACATTTCTTGTGAGCCGCCTCCAGGGCAACATTTTTTTGACTTAGCTCATTTCGTAGCTTGGAGACTTCTCCCGCCAACTTTGCAATGCTTCTGCGCATGTACTCATCTTCTTCCCAACCACCAATCGCGCCGGATACCAGAGACATGTGAGCGGCCTCCACTGGCAATGTGCTATCGAGCGGAAACCCCAGTGGTGAGATTTCAACCTGGGAGCCTCTGCCGCAAGATGCTTGAGGCCTTGGTTCCATCGCGTGCCGCAGAGGCTTCACGGGCGATTTCCAACTCCACGCAAGTATGAACCAGCATGTGAACAATACTGCTGCCGGAGATCCTAATCTTCTTGCCTGTGCTGCATTCAATTTCAAGCTTCAGGACGCAAAGAAATGCAGGCTCACACCCTCAGAGTCAAACGCCCTTCTTGGTAACAGCCCTGACAGTATTATACTATATAGGTAGGGTCGAGCTTTTGGCAGATTTGCCTGTGGGCGTCTCGTCCAGTCGCTGCGCGGGGGATCGTCGGGAGAATACGGCTGATGGTTGATCGCAATTCCTTGAATTAGGGTTAGGTCAGGTTGACGAGGGCGTACCTTCCAATGAACATCTTCTTGAAGTTCTCCTATAAAAAGAGGTGTGCTGCCACCAGGTCACCTACCCAGCGCTTTGGCAATGGAGTTCCTCCCACCTGAAGTCCTCCATCAGATCTTGAGCAGAGTGCCCAGGAGGTGGTGGCAGTGCTTCCATGATGGCAACACTCCGAGGGGCATGGCGCTTGTCTGCAAATCCTGGTATAGGTGGGTAAAAGAGCAGACCGCTGGGGACTGCCTGACCACCCAGCCAATGGAAAGTTTGTTCCTGATCTGCTCCTCCAATGAGTGTAGGATAATTGCAGCAGAGGGTATTCTGGTCGAGGACAGGTCCACTTTGAATATACACCTGCTGCCGTATGGTCCGCCTGAGCGGGAGCGCATTCCCGGAAGGGTCATGGGTCTCACAGATTTCACCCCCACTTTCGCCCTTGATGGTCCGCGCATTGAGTTACTGAGTAAGAGAGAAAAGATATGTCCTATTGCGCGGGCCTCCTATGATTTGCGCAAAAGGGTTGGCTGGTCACTTACAGCTTTGCCGCCTCCTGAGAGGGTGGGATGCATTCGCAAGAATCCGGCAGAAGGGGCTGACCTTGGCCGAGGTTGCGGTTTAGGTCCCCATGAGTCCCTTTGCCTACATATGGATCCTTTTCAGCCGCTGGTCGTGCAATCGGGAAGTGGTGAAAGCTTAGCCTGTCTGGAAGGCAATGAGGCCAGCTCTCAACTTAGCTTCACCTTTCCAAAGACGGATTTGCTTACATTCAGGGGAGATTGTTATCTTTTTGAAGCAGATAGAGGGGTCTGCTTGAACAGGAAGTCGGGCAAGGGAGACCGCTTTGTTTCTTACATCTGGTCTACTGCAGACGGGCGCGCACTTCCGACCAGCCCAGAGGTTGAATGGAGTGGAGTGCTGGTCGGGTGTCGTTAGCCAAGGCTGTGGCCGATCGAACCTTGGCAGACGAAATGCGACTGGTGAGTTTTTCAGAGTCTGTTAACCTCGCCCTTTTGAACCTTGGGGTCTTCCCCCTTCAAGAGATTCTCTAAAAGACGCTCCTTTCTTTCGTTGACATTTTGCCTGGAATAGGCACTTACGCCATGCTGACGTTATCCCTCCAAATACCCTCTGCTTACCAAAAGGAGTAATGAGGACAGCCCTCAAACTACGGCATGACAGCTGTTTCTGGCAGCCATTACAGGTTTGTTTGCTTAAAACCCACTGCATTTGTTCCATTATTGCTGCCCTTGGTAGCCCACTTGTCTCTTTCAGTTCCCTTCTCGTCATTTGCAGCAGATTTTTGGCCCCTTCCTCTTGCTGTATTCGTTGAGTTTGGTTAATTTTATCTACGTTGCATCTGGCCTTTCATCGAGCAACACCAGGATGATAATTCGACTCGTGCCAACCCTCTTGTGAAGCTAGTGATGATGCCAGGGAAGTGATAAAGGCCAGTTTGACAAGCTTTTCAGCATGCCCTTGTCTATACTTGCGCACGCTCAACTCCTTACAAAGCTTAGCAGAATACGTTATCAGAGGTGAACCTCTTTCACTTTTGCTTCTGTCGCTTTGCGCTGCAGTGCATGGACGAGAAGGTGCTGTACTTAGTCCTCAAGGGGGGCTATCGGACCAGGGAGATTAGAAAGCTTCTCCAGCGCCGTATTAGCAAGAAGGTTGATGCGGTTTGCAGCAGGGTCATCCGGGAGCGTGCTGATGAGCGTGTCAAGTACGTAACAGAAGTGGCATTGGCCTTGTCTCGTACCCGCTGTGACAACATTGGTTCGTATATGCGGTCTGATTTTCGTTTGAACTTCCTGGGGCAGTTCTTCTACCCTCCATGTAGCCAGGGTTATTCCTTGTGGGGAGTGGTCGCTGAGAGCCAGCGAGAGGAGGATGCCAGCTGGAAGGTCGAGTCCTTCCACTACCAGCTCTTTGTAGAAGATGGCGACCAGCTCTCTCCTCCTTCCCCCAGCTTAGACCCCGCCCAGTTCCAGCGGTTAAACGAGCCCCTCAGATTTGAGGTGCTCAAGAAGTGCAGTGCACAGACGCTGTGCGAGCTGATAGGCGGGCGGATCAACAAGGAGTTCTGCGAGCTCTGCAAGGAGGCTCTCCAAGAGGTGCTCAAGGAGGAGGTTTTGAAGGTGGTGGACCGGGCAATGGCACTGGACCGGCTGCGTCGGGTCCAGGAGGTGGACAGCCGTGTCTACTGGAAGTGTTCAAGTACGAAGCTGCGGGCATTCCCCTCGCCAGTCATTCCCCTGTAGCACTGCAACCGGTACCCAGTCCGCTGCTGTAGATGCTGGGCTGGGCCTAGTTCTGGTTGGGATTAGCGGCTAGTTCCTGGGCAGGTATGTACAAATCTGTATGTAGATGAGTAGCAGGGCTAGGGGACAAGACTTTCCGACAGATATTAGCTCCTTAGTGGGCAGGGGTGTTTGGCCTGTTGGTGGACCCAGTCCTTTCTTCAGTCTTGCCTTCCTCTGAGCCTTCAATGCGGAATTCGGCTGAGCGTGATTTGAAAGACTCAAGGATATTTTTACCATGTTTCTATATGGATTTGTGCACAAATTGCAGCATTAACCTGTGGCCCCGGTGCCATTCCCGATGCGTATACCTGTACAATGCATAGCTACAGCTTGTGCGAGTAGGATAACATCGCGTGATTGTCACTAACAAAGTCAAGAGATACACCTTGGCACGCATGTGGAGCTACTGACGCATGGCTTAAACGTGTGCATGATACTAAACCGAGCTTAGTAGTATGATACCAAAACGTAATAATCCAATGTCACATATAGATTGCACTATATCAAGTACTTCAATGAGGTTGTCTAGATTGAAAGAAGAACGAACCATTTTCAAGGCAACGATGTCGAAGCCATTTAATCCGAGCTTATCAGTATGATACTGAAACGTAAAATCCATTCTCACAGATTTGCATAGATTGGACTGTACAAATTAAGTAGTTGATCGAAAATATTCAAAGAAGAAGAACGACGACCCATGTAACAATGGTAAGTAACTCGTAGCTTGAGCAAAGTCGCAGATTCTGGATCAGAGAGCCACCTAGCTAGCTTATCAAATGTTGGTTGAGCTCCATGCCAAGATGTGCCTTTTCAGCACGTCTTGAGGGGTTTTCATACAGATTCAAGATGGTTTAAGATGATTCAGCCTTGAGTTGATCGATTGCTCTCATCTACGGATTTTCATGACGATTGTTTTTTTTTGAAATCCAAATTCTTGGAAAACTATGAAACGTATTCCAGGGGGACCAAACACCCCAGGCAAGTAGGTTTGCCTGAACCACTGTATGCCAGCAGCTAAACCTCTAATTGCCCCAACCCGAAGACTGGTGAGTCAAACCTCCGAAGGGTCTCGTTTTAACCCTTGAATTTTGGGTTGAGGCAGGAAGGGGTTTAGGACCTATACTTTGCGCTTATTCAGGAGGGTTAACCAGTCACAATTGCCCAAACAACATGCTCAAACTACCTAATAACCAGACTAGACCCAATCTACAGGCCAACCGGAGGTCTACCCAGCGCTCGGGACGCTCCAGAAGGACATCGGAACCGTTCCATCGAAGAGAAGGTTCATCGGATGGTTCCGACTTTCGGCCCTCTGAGTTCTAACTTTCAAGTGGGGTATGGTCCCCCTGAGTCAGAGCTTCTTTCAGCCAAGCGCATGGGTTAGGACCTACTGCACATTCGGTCAAACCTGGCCGCCCGACCCGAATCCGGTTTGAGGCAGTCGCCGAACTTTTGTCGAACCGAAGAACTTGGGCTGTTCGATGAGAGGCATGTGGGTCATCGCAAGGTCCAAGTTCTGCTGTTCGGGCGAAGTTTTGCATTCGGCTCCAATTAAATCGGACTCGGGTCAGGCGGCCAGGTGGCAGGTTTGACCGAAATGCCCTGAACAGACCTGTGCCAAGTATTATTACCGTACGGTACACGAAGAATTAAAATGCTTCAACGCGTGGCGCTTCAGAATCATAGATTGTAGAGCTGTCAATGCCAACAGTGATGCTCCAGCTGGGCATTGCTGTGGCTCTGCATTGTCTGACGCATTGACGCTTTTCACAGAATAAGGGCTCTGCAACCCGCAGTGATTGCCCGTGTTTGAGTAGGCTGAGTGGCAGCTTGCGCCGACGTGAGCGCTGCTGCTAGGTGGCAGGCACACAGGGGATTCATTTCGCTTTTGGCTCTGTCATTTTTCAGCAGCGTATCCAGGAGTACAAGAACCTGAGTGGGTTGTCTGCGTCTGAGCAGGTGTTGTGGTTTTTCACAAGGACAGAGAGACTCCTCATTAGAGACGTGAGGAGGATCCTTTGTCTTCCTGTGCATAAGGAGCTCAGGTTCAATCTGCGTGAGTGGCTGAAGCGCCGGCTGCGGGACAAGATTAGTGTTCTCACTAAGAGGGCGTTGCAGCTGGTGTTGCAAAAGGTCTCAGGTAAAACGGTCACCCGGGGAGACTATGTCCTGGACCCGGACTTGGATCTCGGTTGGCTCTCTGAGTTCACCTTCAGGGTTCATCCTTCTGACTATTTCACTTATCAAGAGACTTTTAGTGACGGGTCTGTAGAGAGGGAGTATACTCAGCAGGAGACAGAGGACTATTTTCCCTCCCTTTCCCTTACGTCTCCATCTGATCCTGAGGTATACCTCCCTAGCGTTTCCCCCTCCTTCCGGTATATCCTTTCCCCAGAGCTGCAGGGTAAGGTGTTAGAGCACCTAGGACCGCAGGCCATCTGTGACGTCATAGCTGCGTGCTTTGGACGTGGGGATAAGGAGCTCGATAGTCTGTGTGTCTCGGCGCTGGAGAGTTCTGTCAGGAAGGGAGTCTTTGCCTTTGTCAGGGAAGCATTGGCCGATGACCTTGATCTGTTCTTCAGTGCCAAGGCCAGGGAAGAGTACTGGGAGGAGCAGCGAGTGGGGATAGTTAGTCCTCTGTGGGGGTTCCCTTGGGTCACCGGCGACCTCTACGGTCGTCAAGTGGCTTGGAGGAGTGCCGGGTTCCTCAGAGCGCACCGCGATAAGGAGGCGTGCGAGCCTCCTCTGCCGGAGGCACGGGTACCAGAGACTCCTAGTCCCAGTAGTAGTTGGGGGCCTTCTACCGGTTGGGACTAGGTTCTGTAGTCTGGTGTATATAGATGAGCAGGAATAGAGGACACGACTTTCTGACTGATGTTAGCTCTCTGTTAGATAGGGTAAAGACCCTAGAGCTAGTTACTCTTGGGGACGATAACTCTTCCCCACCTGTACAGGACGCCTTCACTGTAGGGCCCAATTCGGTTCCTGTCTCGTCCTCGTTGTCAGCATCTGCAGCTGCCTTCGTACCTTCTGCTCATTCTGCTTTTGCCTCCATTTCCGATTCTGTTGCTGATCTTTTTACTAGCTCCAGATAGGTGTACGTTACCTCCTTGGCTGATCGCCTGCGAGGTGGGGCACCGGTTGCTAGTGAGCAAAATTCTGAGTCTGACGAGATGATTGTTCCTAAGACAACGGAACAGTTTCTGGCCCGCTGGGCAGCTCTATCTAAAGATGAGAGAGAGGCTTTTGAGCTTGACCAGGGTAGTGCTGAGCAAACTGTGGTTATGAGGCTCTGAAGAAAACTAACCTCAGGTATCTTGAGTTGATGACACGGCAGCTGTCTGAATCCAAGCACAACAAGCTGCGCAGGTGAACAAGTCTGACTCTATCAAACCCAAGCCTCCACCTTCGTTTGAGAGTTGGGAGAAGGATCTCCCTATTCAGAAGTGGTTGCCTGTGGTTGAGAATTATCTGGAGGGGTGTCTTGACGTGCCTGACGTGCCTGGCATGCCAGCCTTGTCTTGACTTTTGAGATGGTCGTGCTAGACTCATAAACGTCAGCGCGCGACAGAGTGTATAAAACCATCCTTGCCATCACTCGCAGTGCGAGCATCCAAAAGATGGTCAATCACAATCCAATTGAGCATCAGCTTCAAGCAGGCCGTGCTCTCGCTGCTTTGACTCGTTGAGCTCGGTGCAGAGGCCATTCGGCCTCCTTGTATATATGGTTTCTTATGGTACCCTCATTCCTTTACCGAACCGAGCTTGAAATATGCATGGATGGCTAGCATTGCATAATCAACTCTTTCGGCAACTTTGGAAATGCACGTGCGCAAAGATCGTTCAGATGATGAGAAGTTCCTTTATTGCATATCGTTCCAAAGCATGAGCCTCAAAGCACCGGCTATGAACTTGCTCATCCAAGCATAAGCTTCCAAATACGAAGACGTTACATATCATGCATTCAGCGCAGAAGAATTTCATTGCCAGGCGGTCGAAGCAAACATCCAAAAGATGGTATATGCTAGCATCAGCACCAAGCTTCACGTATGTTGTCAAGTTGCATGTAAAGCTAGCTCTGTTCGTGGAACGAACTGCCAGAGCTTTATGATCAATCGCGGCCACAGTCTAACCATATCATGTCAACGACATACTAAGACATGAATAGAATGACCATTTTTGCGACCGGCGATCCGCTTACTCCTTAGAGTTTGATAACCATCTTCTTTACCTCCTGGGTGGCACGCGGCACTGGAGACTGAAACTCAATCGGGAGTCGTGAGGAGAGTGGCAATAACGAAAGACTCACAGCGCAGATACTAGCAACCATCCGTTCAATTGTCTATGTCATCGTCACTCAGTTTGTATTTGCTTGTCCAGAGTTGTTCGATTAGACGCTTGTCCAGATTTGTCAAGATTGTCCATTTCAACTGGTACCGCCGACGAGCTTTTGATAGGCTTTTGATGATCTTTTGAATGCAGACACTGTTACAACTTCCCTCTTGCCCATGTTTGTCATCTACTAAACTCCACTACACGATTCCCTTCAGTTTACAGAAGTTGCTTCGCAGGCGCCTCTGCATGTCATCGCGCTCAGTTTTGGACGCCCACTCGAAGACTCTCTCGGCGCCGATGTAGAGACTTTTCTTCCAATTCTTCATGTGTCCCTTTCCCACGTGAACCTCGAATTCATTCGGCGTCAAGAGCAGTCCTGCAAAAGGGCAACCATTTTAGCAACGAGCTTTTGAGGACTTTACGAAACGAGCTCGCATCTGGGGTTGTGCCTACCCTACAAGTTTGATCAATGACCTTGACAGTTACGCGCGCACAGGGGGGATTGCTTGTAACTTAGGTCCCGTAACCTAGGCACCCAGGTTATGCCTAGGTTATGGGATCCAGGTTGTGAATAACCTCGGCATCACCCAGATTGCTATACCAGAATGACCTGCGCTATTTTATGAGTAACCGGGGTTCCTAGCTGGTTATGTACAGGACTTGGGCAATACCCAGGTTACAACGATTCGGACCTGGGTTACCCCACAACCCGAGTAGATTATTCTTAACCTGGGCTTACAAACGGATAATGATTTTGTTAGGAGACGATAGCTGAAAAAAACATCATTGTGGTAAGACGGCTAATTGTAGGGCACGCGATTGATCGTGGGTTCGAGCCCTGGACCCCACAGCGGCGCTCTCTTTTTAGTACCCCTCCCAAGCGGCTTTGAAAACTACCAAAGTAAACAATCAGTTTTCTCCCTTACTTTTCCCGTTTCAACTTTTTTGCGGCTTCGGCATGCTTAACTTGGAACGTCGTTGGCTACAAGATGTCACTTTTCAGAAAAGCTTTATGTTTCATAACGGCTAGAAAACATCTCAAATTTCTGAGTTTTTATCTTGTGCGCATGAGTCATAAACAACCTAGGTCTGTTCGCTACCCGGGTCTGCATGGGTTATGCAGAACCTGCCCAGGTTAAGGGCACTTGCTACTCAACCCAGGTCCGAGGTTACCTAGGTTAGTACCTGTGTTACGCCACGACCTATGCAGTAACCTCGGCACAACCCACCCAAGTTACTGACCGTTTTCCCCTGTGACATATGCTGTGCCAATCATAGCCTTGCTATGGAATCAACAATATACTCAAACATGTCAAGGTTTGTAGCCCAAACCCGGTATATCTGCTGCACTTACCTTGCTCTCTGAAAATCCACCCACTCACACACGTGGCACAATCGCACTCGCACTCAGACGCCATCTTGATGCAGATGCCGCAGCTGCAAAAGATTGCCGCTCCACCGTCAGGGTTCACCCCAAGTTTCCCCACTTTTCCCAAGTTCCAGGAGTCTGCGGCCTCGGTGCTGATCCCGATCTGAAAATTGTACCCTTGATGACTTTCATGTCCGCACCTCCTCTTGCGCCTGTCGCCTTCTACTTTCGACCCTTTGCCCCCTCTAGGCCGCCTATCCCGACGTACTTCATCCCGCCCCCCCGGAAGCTCGTCCTGCCCACTTTTTCGGCCCACCTCTCCGCCGACGTCCTGCCCACCTTCTCTGCTGCCTGCAGTTCGCTGCCCACCTTCTCCGCCTGTCAATCGCAGCCCACTGGCGGCTTCGCCTGCCAACCCCTGCGGCTCCCCAAAGTTCTGCCGGCAAGCAGACTCCGAGAAGGCCTTGAGACGCTTCTCTGCAATGCTTCGTACTTGTCCGTATTCCTCCTTGAGGCTGAGCTCTCCAGTGCCCACCTTGTCCCTCACTGATGCAAGTTGACCGACGCAGCTTTGATAGCTGGCGCTTGTCTCGTCAAGGGCCTGCCGGAGGTAATTCATCCGTTCTTTTAGCTGCCGTACTTCATTGTTCAGAATTACTTCCTGCCGCTGGATTTGGTTGCAGTGCTCTAGCAATGACAAATGAGTTTTTAGTCTTTCAAGCTCTGCCAACTTCTCAAGTCTCTCCTCATAGCACTCTACTTCTTTCTGTCGTTCTGCGAGTTGCAACCTGGCTGTCTCGGCTGCCTTCCATTGTGCATCCACCTCATCCTTCTCCTTCTCAAAGAAAGCTTTCTCAGCGGTAGCTTTGCTCGCCCACTCCGTTCTGTTTGAGCACTACCTCGAGCTTTGCCTTGAAGTCCGTCATAGCTGATGCGCCTCAGTTTTGCCTGAAGAAGCTCAGAGCGCCTTTCCGCCCTCTCCTTGCCGCCCTGTTTGCGAAGCTAGCAAGGACTAAAACTTCTGTCCAGCTCCTCAGGCCCACAGGACGGGAAAATGACAGTTCACCAAACGAAGTCAAGAGACGGACTCTGCTTTGCGACAAATCTCGATAGCTTCGGTCCGACCCAGAACTGGAATACTGATATAATCTTCCAGTGAGGCTTCTGATTTTCGGGTGCATGCTGCATGTCGCGGAGCTTGAAGCAGCTCCGGTGAGCCGTATCTGCACTCTGATTGTCAAATGGTGTGCGCAGCCTGCAGCACTGCAGTCTAAATGCCAGAAAGAAGAAGAACGAGGGATCGTTATAGCTTATCAATGAGGTGAGGTGACTTCAGGTGCTGGCGTTGCTGTTTGGATTTCGCGCCTGATATTGCGGCGTCGCGCTGATTGGAAAGACGAGCTAGCGCGCGCGCAGGCAATGGAGGATCCAAGGTTGGTCGGTGAACGAGCGCGGTTGCGCAGCGCTCGGGAGGACATGCTCCTCTTTACGGACTCAGCTCTCCCGGACAAGACTCTGCGGCTCTTCCCAGAGCTTCGGCACGAGCAGCTGTCAAAAGATGAGATGCAGCACCCGACGAATTGTAATTTGGCAGGGCGTTTGCAATGCGTAGCAACAGCCATACCAGAGAATGTGCATGACTTTGGAAGGACGCTGGTCAATAGAGGCGGACCGGATTGGGACGAACTGCACCAGGGCTTCTTAGAACTGTTGAAGTTGGTTGCTCTACATAAGGCCTTGCACTCAGACCTGAAAACAGCGCTGGCCTTCTACCGGTCCTGCCGCCAAGATGTTCTCAAGCTTTTCAAAAGGAAGTTCCGTTCAGTCAAGGACTTCATGCTCAAGGATCCAGCTGTCCTTCAGAAGAGTGTCCACAGAGTTGCGGAGTCGCTGGGCCCTGCAGAAGTTGACAGCTTTCTTCACATCGCCGCCACGCCAGTCGCAGACGAGCGCTGGAGGGTTGATCATAGCAAGATGGTTGATCCTCGCGAGTGCTGCTTGAGAAATTTCGCTATTTCTGTGTTCTGCGCCACCAGAACGAAGAGTGGGCTCCTACCAGAACGTCCTTTCACGCTGGAGTTCGTGTATTGGTAAGACACGGTGATCAAAAAGCTTGTCAGTCTTTTAGCGATTTGCGTTTCAACTCTTCCGTTCTGGAGTGTATTGTTATCAGGTTGACGAGCTTGTGGGAATAATGTTGAGAGCTTTCTCCCTCTGGCCTTAAGGAAGAGCCCATTTGATCCTTAGTTGCTTGCTTAGAGCGTTCAATGCTGAATTTCAGATTGTGAATGCTTTGTCTCATGCTGCAAGACGGGCTGCTCGACATGAGCTTTTTGAACTTCAGTGGGGGTCTCTTTAATCGAGCTGAGGACGTTCTGGACGTGGGCGACTGTTCAACGAATTGGTTCTTTCGTCAACAAGTCATGGATGTCACTTGCTGCAGGGCAGCTCAACAGTAGGCGCGGCGCGGAATTCGGTTCAGTCGTCATTGATGTGACGTCAGCTAACGTCATTAGTCGAATGAGGAAATGGCTGACCGAGGGCACTCGAGCCTTGAAATTGATCTTGATTCGCAAGCTCTCGTCCTGAACCTGTTCTTTCTAGAGCGATCAACCTTGCACTCAAGTTGAGGACGTATAAAAGTCATCTTTCTCAAACTTGCAGGCACTGAAAAGATGCACTGAGTCCTTGTACTACTCGACCGATCCGTTGTTGTTGGAGAAGACGAGAAAGGGGCGGAGATATTCGGAAGAGCATGTGGATGATTAGTTGGGTGGGTGCCAATATTGAAGCTACAGTAGGCGGATGTTGCAGCCACCAAAACAGTCTCTGTAATTGTTATCGAATTGACATCATGAGAGACAAAGTCAGCATGATCACTGCCACGAGGTGTCCAGATGCAGAGTCTACAGTGTGGTCGGGTTACGGGTAATTAGTTGCCAGGATGAGCAAGATTGTCCACCCTTTACGAAGGCGCGAAGGCGCGTTCCTGGCTTTACTCTTCTGACCACTCTGTCTGCTGTCTCTCTCTTCCTTGCCTTATCCGTTACCTCTGACTCGGCTTCGGGTACGTGCCAGGATATGACGACGCTTCCGCTCTCCGCTCCGACCGAGAGTAGCATAGGACGTTAGTCTGATCCACACTGATCTACAAGTCGATCTGACGCTGCTTCTATTTTTTGTTTCTGCGGATACGACGACGCTTCAAGGCCCTCCCAAATGAGTGTGATTCGTGGCAGTTCGTTGCCTAATTCGCTATTGTTGTTTCATGTTCTGTTGCATGCTGCATGACCATACCATCCGTTCCTTTCGGGTCATGATAAGCCGCCCCTTCCGTCCGACGGACAGAAGTCGTTTATGTGCGGTCTGACATGCACCTCTCATACTTTCTTATTCATGTTTCTGGACTCCTTTTAATCTTTCTCGTTATGCGACTCCTCCCGGAGGGAAGGATAGTGTGACAATTCGTGTGTATTCATGCCTGTGAACTTTATGCCATGCCATGTGGTGCTATGTGGTGCCATGCCATGCGAATTCGTGTGCATTCATGCGTGGAACGTCACACTACATTCTCTGGAATTCATGATCGATGTCAGAACACCCGCGAGCTGATGCATGATGTATGTTGATCACAAACTTACAATTGCTGGTCTGAAGATCTTTGCCCGGCCTAATTCTTCGAACTCCTTTCAATCCTCCTTCTTTTTATTGTACAACGTCCGTACATGGTCAATGCTTTTGGTTACGTAGGTGTAGTCCCACCTAACGAACAACTTATGCAATACGAGGCTGTCCAGAAGAAGAGCCCCACTCCGAGCCAATTCAACGAATAAGTAATCCTTGCAATCGCTATCGCAACCACGGCAAACCAAAAAGGGCAGCGCTTGAACCTCTTTGTCAGAGGACATCCAGTGTCCCCGAGGTGGGACCCAAAATGCTAGTAACCGCTGCCGCTTGCGACCAATGAAGTCGTAAGGGCGCAGATCCTCGAAACCCTTGAAATCCACCTGCGGGCCTTCACGGTCTCTGCCATTGTAGAAGTGGCTGGGGATGTCCAAGAAGGTTGATTGGGAGCCACAATGATATAGTGAAATCCTGTTGAGCTCCCCATTGATACTCAGATGGATGCCCTTTGTTGCAAAAGCTGTCGCACCACAACTTCCACAGCACAGACTCTCCCCTTCTGCTGACGGCAATGGAGCGCCGGCTTCTTTAGCAGCCACCTCTGCCTCAGCTGCATCCAATCCAGGCCTGAGGTTATTTTGAGAGCAAAATAGAAAGGGATTGCATCACATCCTGCGGAGCTGTACTGAAGCCTGTAACAATTTTTAGGACTTCAGAAATTTTTGGGGCATATCAATGGGGCACCATGGCCATAGCAAGAAACCTGTCAACTCAGTTTCACTCTAGTATTGCGGAAGCAGGGGATGTGGTGTTGCATCCAGGAATACAGGATGAGCTACTGCGTGACCTGTTTCCAGAAGGCTGTCTTTTGAAAATCGGCCTTGATTCAAAGGGACCTGCTAGTCTGCTCCTTTCTTGCATCGCCAGGAACGAAAGACAACTTTGATGAATTCGGAGCATCACAACTTTGTGGAGTCACGCACCTTTTCCGGGCTGCTTCTTGCAAATCGGGCAAAAAACGTAGGCAACCTTTTTGGTGAGGTGCCTGGATTCATTAGCTACCTTCAGCAGTATCACCACGATTTCCCCATTTTGGCACTTTTGGCAGCCGCCTATGCCCATCATGAAAGTTTTACTCTCCTTGCACATCCCGCTCTGCTGGTGCATTGGCGTGTGCTTTTCTTTGCAGCTTTCACTGCAAAATCCATACAGCTTGCACTCACAGAACACTCGATCCTTTCCACCCAGGGAAGCTCCGCAATAATTGCAACCAGTCTCAGGCTCTTTCGCTGTTTGACAGGGTACTTTTCGGGGGGGAGCCATACCTAGCCTGGGAGTGAGCTGGCTCACCTGCCACGTGGGGCGTTTCAAATGCGGAGGCCTTGATCTCAGGCTCTGGTCGCTTGCAGACCTGTGCCCAGACACCGTACCTATGCTGGACACTGTGATCACCGCTTGTCTGAGACGCTCCATCCAATCTCAAGACGATGACGTCCTCCTTTTTAAACCTTAAGTACGGTACCAAGGTAGGTAGCCTGTAGGTGCTAGAAGGCAAGATACGGTATTAGGTATGGCAGGGCGTGAAAATAGCGCGGGAAATTAGCCTTGATGCAGTTGGCCGCCACGGTCGATGGATAGCATTGGACGCTCGGCGATTGCGCTCCTTGTCGCAGCGCGAAAGCCGCGCGCCGTGCGGCGGCCCAGACCCTGGGCCGGGCCCCAAATCTGCGCATTCACACCATGCGCAAAGCGGAGTGTGTTGAATGTCGAGATTCAAGCTTAGCTATTTATTTAGTTATAGCTAGGTAGGTACATACCTGGGCGGCGTTCACGTTTCGACCCCATCCCAGTTGCCTAGAATTATGCAGATGGACTTGATACAGTAGCAAAGTAGCAACTTAGCAAGTGAGTGACTTGTAATGTTTTGACACTTGCTACACGTGCTGGATCTGACAGCTCAGAAGTGACCTACAAAATTCGACGAGAACAGGCTGCACTTATACATTTGGTTAAAGTGTGTATATTCAATGGTGTAATTGTGCTCGATGCCATACGACCTTGAGGCTTGTAGTCCTCGGATCTAATGTCACTGCGTGCCAAGTACCTAGTATCGCGCCAAACTCAAATATGGTCAGACATCTATAGAATTGGATATGATGTTCCATCATGTTGCAAGCTCACTTGGCGTGGGCCTTCCGGCGGCTGCTTGCAAGACGTCTGATTAAGATTGCGTGCGCCATGATGATCATGATGACATTACTAGGCACCATTGAGCCCGCCTAAGGCACGTACGATCTATATTATAGCCCTGGCTTCTGATTATAGGAACTCATGCGCAAATAGAAACTTTTCAATGAGAAGGGAGGCTTTGCAGTACCATCCAAACTTCTTACACAGCACAGAGAAGTGATCTTTTCCAAAAACCTGCGTCACTCCTGCCTGTAGTGGTCCAATATTATTGCACCTATAAGATCTTGCCTCTCCTTAATAAGGGCTTCAAGGAGACATATGGGGAGGTCGCTAATCTTCGTCAAGCCCGCTCTTCGACGAATGCTTTCTGCGGCAAAAAAGTCGAAATCTTCTTGTCTGCTCCTAGATATGCAGAGCTTCCGGCTGAACCAAGGAAACCAAGCGGGCAGCTCTGCCACCTTTGCCAGAATCATAGCCTCATCGATTATCCCAAGCCCCTCATCCGGGACAAACTGCCTGACGACTCTCCTCCAATCAAGGTGATGAACCTTCCACCAGTCGTCGTCCAAAATTGCCTTGCCGGATGACTTCTCCCATTGCCAAACCGCTCCGGTGTTGGTCACTGTTATCTCAAGCAAATCACTTTTGGTGATGCTCATTATTGTTCCCTCTAGCCAGTTTTCTTGCACAGCTGGGATTTGAGATATTTTGCGCCTAAAGCAGTACCCCACCCTCAACCCCCGACAATATGCTGCTTCCTCCGTGCTGTACGTCAGTCTAACGGGTCCGTCAGGACACCACGAGATGCACTTTGGCAAGGGTACAGGCATGGCGGCAAGCCGGTCGTTGATGAAGCGAGTTGATTGAGTTTGCCTCTGCTTCCAAGTTCCTCGGTTCCCCAGGAAAACTGGGAGACACAAAAAGGACGACCCATACTTAAAACCGGACGAAATCTTCCAAACCCCCCAGGTAAACAACGCAAGGTTGAGGTCAATCCTGCATGATGACTTGAAGATCCCGGGAGCAAGCCAGGCACGATTTCGCCTTTAAGAATTTTGACGCGGCTTTGAGTTGAAATGTTGTTGTCTGAACACAGCGCCTTTATGCCGAGAGCAATCAACGAGAGCAGCACTCACTGGGAGCGTTTTCCTAAACACACTCTTCTGGTCGCTTACCCTGACGGAAGCGCAACCGACGGAAGCACTAGAGCCGCTTTCGGAGTCTACTTCCCTGAACTGCAACCAGGAGAAGAATATAAAAGGATCAGCTCCCGCATCCCTGGCCTCCAAAATATTGCCAGAGCAGAGGATTTTGGAATGCTTGCTGCCCTCCTTCTAGCCCGTCAAGAAACTGCACTCACCATCCACTGTGACCGAAAACCACTGGTTGATCAGATCAACAAGTTTAGAAATCTGCCACTGCATCCTCATCAACTCCGAAGCCTCAAAGACAGGTCTCTCCTACTCCCGATTCTGGATGAAATGTCTTGAAGAAGCGGTGCTACCACCATAGTCCATGTCAAAGCCCACGAAAGAGTCAACGACGGATGCGGAGTTCAAACGGTCTCTGGTTACAACCAGCCGACTCATTCCCTTACAGAAAAAGAGCAACATCAGGAACACAATAAAGTAGCAGACGAGATTGCACCAACGAGTAGCTGGTTCGACCCCACCGAACATACCGGATGAGCGAAAGCACCTTCCCTGTATGTCAGTCATGGTAGATGGACAGATGACGTCAACCGGCAGTTCAAAGTACGAAAACAATCCTTTCAACTTATACTTGAAAACTTACGAGGAAAAGAAACTACACTTTCACAAGAAAGGACAGTTCCACGAGTACCTCTTCGACTTGTCCATATGGGAAAGCCCATCAGTCTCCGTTATGCATGGCAAAAGGGGTCGCTCTATCAGATACTTTATGGTCCAGATTTATGCACGAACTCTCCCTACCTTTCATAGACTCCAGGTGGTACGACCGCAACTTTTTCCTGACAGTACTTGCTGCCTCTGCACCGAGGGGGCAGATGAAAGCTTCGAGCACCTGTTCTTCCGATGCCCATACACTGCCGAAGCCCGGACTGTACTCCTGCAGAAATGTGCAAAATCCATCCGACGAGCTCGGGTGCCATGTTCGAGATTCGAACCTTTCTGGAGGACACAATTTTAGACCCTTCTGTGAGGAATGAACGGTACCGCTCAGGGGGACAGCTTCCAAAAGCCCTCCAAGACTGGATGACACAAGCGCACTCCGCACTGCAAAGAAGTTACATCATCTGATCATCACCTCCTACAGGACAATCTGGTTGTCCCGGTACCGAAATGATAACAAAAAACCAGTTCAGACGACAGAAACTTGCATGGCACACGTGATTTAGCGACCAAAAACATGCCGAGCAATCACAGAACATCCATCACATTGGACGACCAGCCCAGCATTGGTGTAAGGCATGTGGACGCATCCAAAGCATTGAGAAACATCAATCTGAATCCCAATACAACCCCCTTACCTGTCTCAACAGGGCCCAATACAGCCCCAGCTGGGACCAAAGGCACGCTCGGCAAGCGGAGACTCCCTGCTAAAATGATGGAGATTGCTGCAAAATGTCAGAAGAGGACTTTGCAAGCTGGCATCCCCAGCTGCCCCTCAATCTGATCTTGGCAAAAGGCTGCTCCCGCCTTATATGATTGGGATTGCAGCTAAACGTCAGGCAACGATCAACAAAACAACCTCCCTGGCTTCACCACACGATCCCTGCCACTCCGTCCTACACTTTGGGACAAAGGCTATTAACACCAGAAGGCGAAGACCCGGAAGGAGAAGAGCACCACAGTGCACACCCTGGCTGATTCACTCGTGAATATGGGCCTGCGCCCTGGGCCTGGATCTGACCTCCTGCAAACTGTGCTGAGATCAGTCCGAAAGAGGGCGACTGACAATTTCTGCACTTCGAATGAGCCGGACCGTAGCATAGATTGAATATTTGCAAACGACTTGGGGGTAATAGGCAGAGTCCAACTCTAATTACTTGATGACGGGGGGCGCGATGGCACCCCGATGGTACATGGCTTATATCCCCCCCCGGAAAGGTATTATCGCATTCTACCTGTATCCTATTCGATAATAGCCTACGAATTTGCCAGTTAGCGTATGCCAGTCAGTAGACTCCAACAACGAGCTGCTTGTGGCCAGAAATATTCTCTCAAAAAGAAAAAAACAGAACCGTCGATTACACCACGTCGGCAAAAAACATGAACAGCGCGCCGAACTCAAAACTCTGGATCATCAAGATGATGCTCCGATGATACAGCTGAAGTATAATCGAACGGTCAAAGTTTCGCCCATTCATCAATCTTCAACCTACGGGCGTTTGCGGATGCATCCGCGTTAGCGACCACTAAGCGGAGAGTGATGGTGTCTGGTCGCTGAGATAGTATCACGTGTCATCCGCTGATGTCAAATTCCGGCGACTACTAACCCGTCGCTCCCCGCGCTATGTCGCTAATGACGTCACTGCGGATTGCATCCGCTAATTCGCTAATTCGCCCTTACAGAGCTGTCAGTGTGCCTGGCAAATCCCCTCTTCCACCTTCCTGTTGAGGGGTGTCTTTGCTTTCATCCGGGAAGCCCTAGCTGATGACCTCAAGCTGCACTTCAGCGAGGAGGCGAGGTCTCAGTACTGGGAGAACCAGCGTGAAGACATAGTGAGTGCTCTGTGGGGGTTCCCTGGGCTCACTAGAGATCTGTACGGTCATCAGTCAGCGTGGTACACGGCTGGCTTCCACAGGGCGCACACGGAGACTGACAGGGAGAGGTTCCCAGCTCTGTTTCTGGAGTCACCGCAGGAGCCGGTGGGCGAGGAGCAGGAACCTCCTGTTCCCTCTGGCTGGGAGGACCGCAGTACTGGTTGGGGGAGCGGTTAGCTTTTCCCAGGGTACACAAGGTTCTGCACAATTGGACCGGCACAGGCGAGAAGGCCCTCCACAACACTTGGACGTTACACGGGTGGACAATCTTTGCCAAGTCACTTCCGCTGCGAGCGGCACGCACAAAGCAGGGATGGGGATCAAGAAAGAAAGGGCCCGCTTACCTTTGGTGAGTCCCATTCTGATTGCATTTTCAACAGCTGCCACCAGCACGCAGCACGCCTCTGCCACAGCGCACGGCACGTCTGTGAGATTTTCTTCTGTAATGTGGTCGGCTTCAGCGTTACAATATCCGGCAGTGTTGATTTGGTAGATGCTTCTTGTGAAGTTCTTCTCATAACCAAATTTCCAGAGTGAGATTGCCATTCATAATGCTGTCAAGCAATCTTTTGTTTCGTGGCTACATATGCGGGCAGTTGCAGTGCCTTACAAGCAGCCTACTCATGCTTCCCTCATGCTTTGAGAAGTAAACTGGTTGCAACAAACATCTGCTTGCTAGCTGACCCTTTACGCGTGCTGCCAACTGCTTTGGTATTCAGAAGTGATAATTATTTTGAGAAAGCGCGCAGAAATCTGCACAAGAATGTTCAGTTGTCGGTAACTGACCCCTACACCATCTTATCTCTTCCAGTAGTTGGGACTCCCTTTCATGCTGGAGGCTGATCGCTTTGCATAGTCATGACTCTTTTCGGTTCGTGATATTGTCCATTTTAGAGGGCTCGTCTTCTTTGCTTTCAATGGTGCAGTCACTTCGCATGGCATTGCTTGCCTTCCATCTGGCTTGTGTTTCCCTGCAGGAAGCTGCAGCACCTGGTTCTGGAGAGTGTTACGAGTCGCGGCCACCCACCACGGGCAATCTCGCAGCCACTGCCGTCAATCCAGCCAGTGAGAGGCAGCAAAAGGCGGTCTGCTCTGCGCAAGCAAGCACGGCAGAAAGAGACCGCTAATTTGTCCCAAGTTACGACCACGTAAGGAACACTGCGCAAGGCCTCGTTGATTCAGGCCTCTGATTTGTTGATATGCGCGATGGCCCTTCCCAGATCTTGCCTAACGCTTGCTTGCTTCTTCGATTGTCGCTGTAACCGTGCGGTAGCGTCCGTATGTCTTGAGAAAGCAGAGTCCCGTGTCTGTTGGTCCCCTGAATCTAACTCAAGCTTGTTGGCTATCAGTCTCATGATTCTGAAATCAGTATCATGCACCTGCTTCTGATACCATACTTTCGTTCTGCTCCGTTGTGGAAATGCTGACGACTCCTTCTCGTCCTTGGCGATTAATAGTGGATGGGTCGACTAATCCGCGGACGACTGATCTGCTCTATTCTCTTCTGTCGGATATGACGACACATCGTCTCTCGGTGTGAGAGTGTAACATAGGTCGTTGTCCGATCCACATCGCTGTAAATTCTATTCTGACCATACCATCCGTTTCTGTCGGCGGTTAACTGGTTGTGATGACTGCAAACAGTGTCTCTTCGACAGAAGTAGCTTGCTCTTTGTCTGATACCCTGTCTTTTTGTTATCAGGTTCTAATGAACTGCCATCCTGTCATTCCGACAGTTTTGAAACTGTCCATCCGGCAGTTTGCTGGCAGTCTAATACCTCAGCTATGACGTCATTCTGGCGTCTTTCACCCTCTGATACTTTCGCTACTTTTGTTTTCTTGTTTTACATCTGAATTGTGTATCGACGTTTCTCCTTCTTCGAGAGGGCAAGTCGACCAGCCACGATCTGATATCATCCGATTATTTTTCTTCTCTCGTTCTGCGAACTCCCCCGGAGGGGAGAATAGTGTGACGATTCGTGTGTAGTAACTGTGTACCGACTTCGTCACAGTATTTTACTCTGCTTACTGGCGTTTCTGTTCTGGCCTCATAAGCTTTCCGGTGCAGTTCCGTTCCGCTCTGTTCTGTTTCCGTTCTTGACGTGCCCAGAAGCGGATCACGTGCCTCTTTGACAATCGGTCTCTGACAGTCCGCAGGCCTTCCAGTGTACCACACGGGCAATGTTCTGCGCGTTGATAGTAATCTTTTGCTCCAGGCTGCATCGACGGCGCGCTTCTTGACGAGCAATTGAAACCTTTCTTCTGTCCGGTTTCAGTGCTGACCACGGCTCTGCAACATGCAGGACTGCGTGCAAGCTCAAGCTGATTTCATTTATTGAGGGATCTTGAAGATTTGTTCTTAGGGGTAGAACTTGATAGGCATTTGGTTGCTGAACGTTTAGTCCAAGAATCTGCTATTTCTCAATCCGCGGATCGTTTTATACAACTTTTGATCGTTTCTAACAACATTTGTCTTTCGCCGCTTGTAGAGCTTGCTGGAGGAGAGCGTTTCCAACTACTTGCAGGAGGAGAACCCCTTCTTCGGGCGCCCCGACGAGCTACACACTGTATACTCGGGCCCAATGTTGGGCCGCCACTTCTCCACAGCTAATACTGGAAGGCTACCCCATATCACAGGTGGGTGTCACCTAGGCGAGCTGCAGGATAAGGTGCGAAGTGATTCGAAATAGTCGAGAGCAATTTGACGTGCATGCGTTCCGAGCCAGCACTATGGCCTTCAACGACCTTTTCCTCTCAACGGAAATGTCGTTTTGCTCTTTAAAATCGGCATCAAGGGTTTGTTTACGAATTTGCCGTCGATTTTCGACCGACGTTCCGCGGTCCTTTTTGCGACGCTCGATGCGCCGCGCGGAACCGGGATTGGATGGACAGTCACTGTCCGCTCTACGATAAGAACCACAGAAATCAGATTCACTGTTGTAGGTGTTTATGTTTCCAATTCTCTTTGGTTTTTTCACGATATAGGGTAACCAGAAGCAAGCCCGGTGCAGATTGATGGGAACGGCAGACACTGCTTCCCTCACTCTACGCTGGGCCCGCCTCTTATTGATATGTATCTTTTGAGCTCTCCGAAGTGTATGTGCACGTAACCTCTGCAAGATTCTAATTTGGATCAGTTTTGAGCTTCTGCCGCATATGATCGAAAGTCTTGTCCAAGTCCTTGGCAGCTGACGCAGTCACGTTTGCAGGTGAAGAGGCTGAAAATAGGCTAAAGCCGTCTCGAACAGCTGCAATCCAAAGTATGTCAAGTGCTCGTTGCGCTGCTACATGTCCCCCTTGCAAGTGGAGTGAGTGATAACAGTATTTCGAATCGACCCTTTTCTATCTTGCAGGTGGCGCGCTCATTGATCAAGCCGAGCATCGAGAGTCCAAACTTCTCAACGGAACGGCTCTTGAGGTTCGAGCAGACGTCGAAGTGAAGATCCGAGCAGAGGTGGAAGCGCTCTATGGGTCCTCAGCGGGCAGCCTGTGCTGGATCATCCACGTGGACTCTCAGCCTCTTTCCCAAACCGGGTGCCATCCATTGCAGATATAAGTCACTGGCCCTAGATTGTGGGCTCTAGTTGGTAGGTGAAAGCCTGAGCTGCTGAGCCTGTGCGCGGAGGTGGCCGACCGCGAGGCGGGGCTCGTCGCGGCCGCGGAGGCGCTGCGCGCCTGAGCCCTCGGCTGGCTTCAGTAGAAGGCGTTTGCCAGCGCTGAAACAGTTCTGCCGCATGCGGCGAAGCTAGCATCGAACCGGGTAACAGTAAAGTAGGATGAAATGTACTGGTTCTTAGTATAATAGATGGACGTGTGAAGGCCCTGGCAGGCAGGTTTGGGCCGGCGTGGTGGCATGATTCGACACTTAAATCACTGTGCTGACCGGACGTGGTGCTGAATAGAATCGACAAAATATAAGTTGCTTATCACATACGATTCGCCACAATCGACATCCGATGACCTTTAAGTTGCTATCCGGTTGCCAGGCTTGAATGAGTGGTTGATTGATGCGGTAGCAAGCCTGGGTTGGATTGATGACGTCAACAAACGCATTCGACGAACAGTCGATTTCTGCAGCCAGCATATCTTACCAGATGCTTGGACCGTGACAGCTGAGCTTGTTTTGCTATTGCCACAGCGGTGGACTACGTGCTGCTTCGATCCTGCATAAAGCAATGCTAGCTGGCCGCCCCGCTGGGGCGGCAAGGGCTTTGCCTCTGACCCGCCAAGGCTGCTGAAAATCCACGTAGACAAGCATGGTTATGGAGCGCAATATGTGCAGACAGTAATTGTAGTTGAATGAGGGTGAGCCTGGAAAAGGCTACTAGATGCATGCATAAATAGCACGGCCTGCTTCTCGCAAGACCCCGGCTCCATGTCTAATGCTTTTTCGACAACTTTGTACACGTCTATACGAAGCATCTTTGAACGTGCAAAGCCAGCTAGCTCTATTTTGCGTATGCAAATGATTTGATGGCCGGCAATAGTTGAAATCAACGGCATGATATCAGATACGAGTCAGACCGGCTTGATTTGGCGGAGGGGACGCCCACGAGCAGCGTTGTACGTCTTTGGGACGCAGTTGACGCGTTTCTATCTAACAAAATCAATCAATCAATCAAGCCATCAATCAATCAGTTTAAGACGCATGTCAACATGGCATCCAAGCACGGCACAGGGTCCTGTTGAATCATTCACGAAGCAACAGCTCATTCAATGATTGTGTACGGCTTCGTTTGAACGGAAGCAGGCACCATGACAGATGGCAATTATCGTATTGCGACCTCGTCGGTTTGAAATCGTATAGCGATCGTCTGTCGGAGTTCTATGGACAGTAACTTCCCAGGCTGATTGCACAGGCTCCAAGGGGCTGCACGTCCAAGTCGGAGCTCTAGTGTACTAGGAGCTGACCCCTACTTAGCTTCCCTCCTACAACCCAGTGTTTCGTCGTCGCCCACTTATACGATAGTTACACTTCCAGTATAAACTGTCCTTTCTACGCTGTGCCCTGACCAGCTACACGCTTCTTCACCCCCGCTTCTTCCCCCCTTTTCGCCGACGCCCACTCTCCCCCCACTCTAGTCGCTCTCAGGCCGCCCGGCGTACATACACTAACCACCTGAAACGCGGTCCTTTGAAAAGACACTGACCCCGACTGTGGGCTCGGTTGGTTCTACTTTTTGTCGCACTCCCTGCGGACACCTGGCGTCTTCCGCGTTTTCAAACGCCAAGGCTGACAGTGACACCGGCTTCCGCGTTTTCCGCCCCAGGGCTGACACTGGCTTTCGCGGCTTCCGCGTTCTCCCTCGCCCTAGCACTGACACTGGCGGCTTCCTCCGAGAGTTCCACTTTTGCCTTCTTTGGGTTCTTGCGGATAAAGTCGTTGAACTCGGCGTCCAGGTCCATCTGCTGGAACAGCGCCCGCTTCACGTCATTCTTCCTTCTTCCAGCCTGCGGCCCCTTCAAGAACAGCTCCAAGTTGGGCCCCATCTTGATGCCCAGCCGTCCGGTGAAGTTGCCCTCAGCGTCCGGCTTGTCGGACACTTGATAGTTCGCGACGCCGTCCGTGAGCTGGGCCACCTTCTGCATGACGCTACTGATGGGGTCGAAGCTCCTGAAGCTGAGAAAACTCGTTCCCTGCTTCTGGAAGAAGATCGCGCAGAGCCTGTCCACGAACTGCTGTGCGACGTCCCCCCCAAGAACCTTCTGCACGACAGTAATGATTGCCTCAATCACAGTCGCCTGCCTGTGGATTGACCTCTCCAGGGTCGCGTACCTGTACTGCTCGCCCGTCTCAATATCAGAGAGCTTGAACCCCAGCACGCCCTGATACATTGAGGCCAGCGACTCATTTGTCGCCACGGCAGCAATGGGCTTGGCGACATCGCCAGGCAACGCGAACTCCATCCCGTTTTCGCGCTCGAAGTTAATGGCCGCGTAGTGCTTGAACTGGCAGTCCCCGAGCGACCCCAAGACGTCGTGGTTAAAGAGCTGACTTGAAGATGGATGCGTAAAGGCTCTGCGCAAGAGATTCAAGGACTGGGGGTCCCGCGGAAATGCGGTGCCAGGTGGCAGGAGGCGCTCAATCTTTGCAATGCGCTCCGCGTCACGGTCTGACAACTAGGTCTGCGCCATGGTGCCTTCTCTTTTGAGTGCGGAAGGAGGGTCAACTGCACGGGCCTAGGCGTTCTGCTGGTGGAGTTCAGAATGAAGGAATTGCGCCGGTTTGAAAGTTCCTTCTGAAAGCCTTCAAGTCAAATGAAGAAGATAGCGCTGAGTCGCTCAGGTCTATTGGCAAAGCTGCTTGCCACTCTAATTCCAACATCGGAACATTCGAACACACTGGCAGGCTCAATTTAGTCTTCGCCCTATTACAGAGGAGTAGGATTTCTGACAATGTCCATGCATGATGCATGACAGGCGGAAAAGTTCAAGTTGGGCGGGTAATGATACTGGGGCCAAGTCAAGCTCGTCGAAATAGCAGTTCTGCGTAAAGGCACTGAGGGGCCTTGCAGCGTGTCAAGTTGGAGCGTGTCCTTGACATACGGACATGGATCCCGCGTGTGACGTGCAGACTCTGGACTCCTGCGTCGCAAAACCAGGGGCAAAACCTGACAGCCTTGCCACTCAGGGGGGCTCGTTTGAACCACATTCGTTGAATGTCAGAACGTGGTCAGAACCGAGTCTTGCGACCCCGATTGTAACCACCCTCAGTTCCTCAATCGCAGCATAAAATTCTTGCAGTAACAACTTCAGGTTAGCCCCCAAACTCGACAAGCAGCCCCATGCCTGCATGAGGGCCAAGAACAAGAGGATCTCTACTACTACGAGACTTCTCCAAGCAACTAAGCAGCCATCCAGCCTACCTACAGAATCTGGATTTTGGAGCGTTTGCAGAATTAATGCAAGACGTACTGTTCATTACACGTCTTTGTGTATCTTCGGTCCTCGATCGGCTGCAATCATTCTCGACCCAGTACCGTTGGGTAACCCGGAAAGAAGCCTACCGAGCGCCTGCCAAGCCGGACGGCTACGGCCGGTGTTAGCGCCTCCCGGTTGAGCGTGGCGCCGGTACCTGCGGTCAACCGGTCGGGGTTCAGGGTCGTGACCGGGTCCCACAACGGTCCCGGCGGAATCCCGGTCGGGCTTCGGACGTCTCGGCGCGGCCTCGGCAACGTCCCGGTCGGGGGTTGGACGGCCCGACTGGCCGGTCGGTGTGTCGGCCGGTTAAGGAGTAACACGGCCGGGGCTTTCCGGTGCTATACCGGTGGGCTCAAATCCCTCCGACGCATGTACGTTGCAATATTGCGGCAGAATGAAATTTCTCAAAAGCGTACGGTTAATGTCTTGAAGCTTTGCTACTCAATACAACACGAGAATGCGAAAGCATATAGCGTACATCACGGTGGTGCCAATCCCATAGCAAAGTTGTCAAAGCATGTAGCTCCACATCGGATTCCAAGAAGAAAGTGATTTTATGATGATAGTAGATGCACAAATCAATTGGAGTGATTCACAAAGCAAGCATGTCCATATACTGTTCTTTCAAAGTACGTTGACTGAATGCAACATATTGGAGCGCCATGTGAATACCAGGGTACCGTACACCTGAAACAACTCGCAATGACCAACATAAGATGGGACAGCGCCGCCACATTGCTTGAACGCCTGCAAAGGGGGAGGAAAGTTCAGCCAATGGGGGCCAGCGTCAATAAAGATGATCGGATGAACTTGAACAAGCCAAGCGAAGCAACATATGGAGAGCTGGAAAGATCTAGAAAGCTTCAATTGGGTCTCACATCAAGCTGTGCCGACCGCTGTCAATCGTGAATTGCGGCCTGCCACATCAGATCTCTTGAGATTGAAATACCCACTTCAAGAGAGGTTCTCATGACCAACCACACTTTCTTGCTGCAAAGGGTTGCCAAGTAGAAGCAGCCATGTTTCGTCACGATTGATATGCATTCAAGGGTGGACAAGATTTTTGCTACATACAGCCAGGCTCCGTGACCCCTTCAGATCCGGTAAGGATAGTGCAGAATGCGAGCAACATGTACCATGGAAAGACTTCCTGAACAAAAGAGTAGAGAAAACAAGCGAAGACTCACCCATGTAGAGAAGATCGCGGAGTTATGGGGATGCGACGCACGGTCCAAAGTGCGTATCAGCGAACAGCGCGAAGAAGCATCATTTGACGGCAGCAACACAGCATGTTGGTCAGGTCCGCCACCACCATCTCACTTAACGGGCAAGCACCTTCGATCCATCTCAGTTGAAGCTCCGAAACATGGAAAGCTGGATGAATGATTCACCTTGCATACTGCATAAGAAGGAGCACACTGAATAAGTTTGAGTTGTATTAAGCTGCAAAAAGTCCCAACGTGACCGTGCTACGCTGTGGGCCAATAATAGAATTATGCAAGGGCGTTGTGCTAACAGTGAGACACGTGAAAAGATGGAGATCAGCATTGCTGCAAAACTCAGATCTTGTGCCATAGAAGGTTTGAAGGTTTCTCAAATGTTGAAACAAACACCTTAGGGTATTGCTCGTGCTTGGCAAATGGCTCGCAAATGCTGGTTTGAGACAGACGCAGATCCTTCATTGTAAGATTGAGCCAACATCATGTAAAAGCACCTGGTTTATGGGAAACATCAAAGTGCCTGGCTTGCGGTCTCCAGCATATTCAACACTATGCAGGTACACGGAAGGGGTATGCGCTTCGAAGGAAACAACACTCAGAGGTCAGAATTAGGAAGCATTTGAGACTCACCCTCTCGGATTAGGATGCTGCATAGCGTAGCTCTCAGACAGCAAGGGACGGTTTTGTAGCAACTTCAAGACCCGCAGGAAGGAGCGTCAAGGGGCAGCGCCATGTGGAGCTCACAGAACTGGCATGCGCTGTACGTGCTTACTGCAAGGAAAAACTGGACGATTGAGCAGGGTGTAAACACTGTAACAACTGCAAATCATCGAAGTTTGCAAGAGCTCATGCGATTGGGGAACTTAGAAAGTAAGGTGTCTCTGACAGCGCATGTCTGGTGAAAAAAGCTTTGATATCGAGGCAAAAGTTGCGACTTGTGTCCAAACCCCCAAGGTCAGAAAGTTGATCAAAGTACGACGTGGAACAGATGGCACAATGATCCAGATGATACAATGGAACACATCTTTCAAGAGTGCTAGCACACTAAACAAATCAACGACTTTGAATGAATGCAAGTAGCGGCAACGAGCGCCGTGGTAAGTATCCAGAAGAAGAATCTTGAGGGACACTCAGCGGAGCAGAGCTGGTTTGGATGAAGCAGCTGATGAAACCAGGCAATCAGGATTGAGCAATATTTGCTTTCAAAGCGTATGATTTTGAATGCTGCCAATAATATGAATGAAATATGAATGGAAATTTCTGCGACACCGTGATCGGCTGAGATTGGAGTCAAACAACTTGCTTTTGTATTCTTCAATGGCTTTGAATGAAAGCGGGCTGCCAGCAATGCTCACCAAAAGATGGAATGCAAAGAAGTAACCACGAAGCGAAGCGAAGCAACAAAGAAGGCTGACGGAGAGAGCAAAGCGCAGAGACTGGAGTACGCAAGCTCCAGTTTGCCAGCCCTGGGCGTGGTCTCATAACAGATTTACAGTGACTGCACGAACGCCGACAATTGAAATGGCGGCGGGGGCGGTCGGCGGTTGGCGGAAGTGCCCGGAGGACGAGCGAACAGGGGGTCCAGCGGCGGCGGCGGCAGCCGGGTAAAGCGCCCCGGGCTAACTTACCCACCAGCCAAAACCAAGACAATATTCAATATATTCTGCCTGAACTCAAGCGACTTGACATACCTATGAGATACGGACAGGGAATATGCGCTAATTGAGGACGAAAATGGGGCGCATTCTTCAAAATAAGTGCAATTTCCTGAATTTTTGAAAGTGCAATCCTGGGGGGGCCAGCCTGGCGGCTGGCTGGAAAAGTTTCGCAAAATTCCGGGGGCCGGGGGTGTGGCGGCCGGGCGAATTGTCGGCGTTCGTGCAGTGGCTGTCAAAGTGTTATGAGATGACGCCCTGCATCGGAAAGCTGAGATAAGTTAACTGAAAGGTAGGATACATGAGATAGATCAGAGGAATGACAGCCTGAAAAGGACCTCTGCAAATAAATGTGCTGCCTCATGCATGAAGGAATGCTGCATAAGCTGACCGTAAGATCAGATATTGCAATCTCACCTTGCAAAATAATCTGCTATTAGTAGACTGTTGGGGAAACTCCATGGCGGCAGCCCACGCGCTTGACTGGTTGCTGCCGTCACTTGACAATTCGGGAAGAGGATAGAAGATATCAGGCTAGTAGGGAATGACGAGTAGAAGGCCCGCGAGGCCGCCCATCGAGGGCGCCCTGTCCGCCCTGCTTGCAATGTGAGGAGCTAAAGCTGCCGTGGAAATGCTGTAGGACATGCTGTGGAAATGACTCGGGTTTGAAAGCGACGG